TGATTTACTAAGGCTGTAGATCATGTGAACTGCACCAAAATCATTACAGAAAGTCTGACCACTTGGCAGCCACCTTGGCAATGCTGCTGGGCAGTTGTTTTCAGACATACAATACCAGCCAACTATCTCTTTGAAAGGAGAAAGGCCAAATTTCTGTTTCAAAAACATATTTGAAATCAATGGTAAAATTTGACAAATATCTCAAATATTTTGCAGCATTTGGCTCAATAAAGCAAAAAACAAGTGCTTTTGCAGGTTGTTCTGGCTGCAATGTTGGTGCAAATCTCCACAACTGAGCCCAACCAGCGACATGTCTCCTCCTTCATATTGTCTCTGACTGCACATAGACCCATTTTCTAACTGTTATATGTATGAGGCGCAGGCTTTAAAAGCTGCAGTGAGATAGGAGCTGTCAGCAAGCTCGGGATAAAAAAGAGAAAATTTAAGTTCAGTGATGAAGAGACAGCAGTAAATGAAGTTCTTTCCTAACAAACATTCTACAGAGGTGCATATGTATGCTCAGAAAACAGAATTAGGGGAACAGTTTCTTAGTGCTATGCAAGTGCAAACAGAATGTAAGACAGCTAGCGCTGGCTCAAATAATTCGACCAGTCAAGTATTCGTGCCTGACTTTGGTATTCAGTTATCTACTTACGTCTTTTTCACACTTTCCATTTAGGCTAAAAGAGTGCAGATGCACGCATGGAGCATATTAAATTATTAGATGGTAAGAAAAATGCTCGATGCAATGGAGGCACAACAAGTTTGAAGCAATCAAATATGTAAGCATAGTGGCACTTCTGTCTGAGGGCAACGCTAAAACCGGTGAGCTCAGGTAGATAAATACATAAATTTATTTGACAGTTACATAAAAGACATATAAGATTTCATACATACAGACCTTACAAGCTTTAAAAAATGCTGAAGTTAAAAAATAAAACAAAACAAACACAAAGCCACTGGCTTTCCAATGTGGTCCTTAAAAAAATGTTAAGATGAGGCAGGCCAAACGCTGAATAAAAAAATGCTAAAAAAGACACAATGACAATATTACAAATTTATCAGTCATTTCTTAAAAGCATATTTGAAACTACTTTGCACTAGTATTTGTTTCAGATAAATTTGAAGTTTATACCACAAAACTGTACTGATATATTAAAAGTGTATTTTTTACCAGTTGAGCTATTAAATTAAAGGCATGAAATTCATTGCACTACCTCTAGTTGCATAATTATGGAGATTCTTAAATACGTAGTTCAGAACACATTTACTAAGAATTTTATGAGTAAGTCTCAGTTTGATTTGATCTACTCTTTTCTCCACAAGAACCATAAACCTGTTTGTTAACAGTTTCAAACTTGCCCCACCCATCATCATACTTCTTTGCTGTAGTGAGTTCTGAAGTGCTGAAAGAGGAGAACACTGGCACACTCTCAGGCAGATAAGTCTGCCGTAGGGGTGAAGTTAACTTTAGCCCTTCTAGTCAGCGACTCTTTAGGCTGTGGTTGGTCCGTTGCATGACTGAACTCAACCCGGCTGTGACTGAGCTAAACACAGCATTGACTGAGCTCAACTTGGCCTGTGTGTCGGCCTCTGTGCTGCTTTCCATGATTAAAAAAAACGGCGAACTAGCCAAACAAAACAAGTGATATACATGACTTTAAAGCTGTATTTCAATGAGAGGGCATCAATTGGTGATTCTGTCATAGCAACACAGCGCGCAAACAGCTGGCCTTCAGTCTGACTGCTAATACATTGTTGCCGCCTCCATTACAATTTCTGTTAATTTGCTGAAGTTAAAATATTGGAAAACAATAAAATACAAAACATAGAATGTGTAAATTTAACAGGCCACATTTTAGGATGTATTTTCACTAAACAAACAGTGTGCAACAAAATGTGCAGAAGTGTTCTCTGTATATGATCATTTATTACTTATCTGTATATGTACTTATTTTCACTTCAAAATCAACAAATTTGACCATGGTGCCCAAACTTTGCATGCAACTATTCTGAAATGAAGTAAGAAATGTGCTTAAAGTTATGAACACATAATGTAAATTGAAATGTAAATATCATTTTTAAACTTTATTTTAAAAATGAGGATTCAAGTCCTCGTTTGGAAATACCAGTACTTGAAGCCAGCAAAATGCTGTTCAGGCCAGCCTTAAAGACAATGTGTAAAAACTGAAAACTAGAGACACCAGCGGACATTTCTGCTCCAAGTTCAATCTTTCAGCTCGCTGTCTGCCTGCAGTGGGTGAAAAATCCTCTCATAAGTAGCCTGCCTCCTGGAGGAGTTCACACAGCTGCTGCCTCTCAAAGACTTCATCACACAGACAAGCTGATAACACACCACAGCGCCTCTTACTCTCCTGTTTCTGTGTGTGTGTGTTTGAGACTGAGATGTATTAAGAAAGCAGAGCACAGAGGTCAACTCTCTGCAAAATCTGTAGCTTCTGGCCACTGAGTGCGTGTGACTGACTGGGTGGTGTTGAGTTGTTTATGTTTTCAGGCCAACTACACACCCTACAATACGCCTAAAAATGCATGCGAGTCACTTCTGTTCAGTATGAGTGTGCCTTCAGGTGAGGGTTTCAAAGTCATGCTCGATTTATTCTGAGGTTCAATCTACTACTGCCTATGTAATCTTCCTCACCCACATGCTGCAAGCTTTTCGAGCCACCAGCCATGTCGTCTTGACAAGCCCAAGCAGCCATGAGTTTCATCGGTAACGTCTGGATTCAGTTTCAGGGTGGGATTTAGGAGAGCTAATAATTGACAGGATGTTCAAATCACTAAGCCTGACCAATACATTGGTCGGCTGATAACACTGGTCAATACTGACCTAGTATTGGAATCTGTAAAAATATTGTATATATTTCAGCGAATAGTCACCAACTTTATTTGGTTGAGGTATCGCCAGGACTCGAGCCCATGATCACCTGATGAGAAGATCACAGTAGGACAGAACCTTGGGTGTGGCACTTTTGAGTCCAATGTGTGTCATCCCCTCTTTAACTATATAACAGCAATATGGGCTGAACTGTTGAATCTGAATACAAGACACCATCAAGGTTAAAATACCAAACCTAATTAAAAATTAAAAAACAAGAAGATAATTAACAGAAGCCAAAACTGCAAAGAATTTGTGTAGCTCCTCCCACAAAGCTACAATATTTACACTATTTTAGTCTGTGACTGATATTATTGGTTATCAGAAATCAGCATTATATTTTCATCTTGTACACCTAGCTCTGAGGAGACCTGTCTCCTAAAAACAATGAGATACTTGTATATCTGTGATTTTAGGCTTGAATTTTCACTGGAGCATGAACACAGAGACCAAAGACTTCTCCAATCATTAGTCACAAGACCAATGCACATGTTTATGGGTGTTCACGCAACTACAAGCTTTTTTACGCAACAGCAGTTGATTTTTGGATATGTTTTTTATACATTTTTAAACATAATGCAGGTAAGGTTCAAGCTCATCTTTTCTAAGACTTGCTTACCAGACTAACCTGAATGTGTTCTAGTCAGTCTGTAAAACGTTTCACAGCTCACTTTGTTTGCTTAATTGTGTTCTGTTCATTTCTGACTAATTTCTGTTTGTTTAATTGATTTGCTGTCACAGCTACAGGCCAAAAATCTTGCTCATGGGCAACAACAGGTTCAAAATATGATAAGGTCTGCTGTCAGACTCTTCTTCATAACTTGTTCTGAAAGAAGTTCTTCGTATAAAAGTTATTTATTGTATTTATTTTCTGTTTTTGTATGTACTAATGATGGGTGGCTGCAAAGCAGTTGTTACTTAGCAACGGGTGCTCACTGGAATGACAGAGTTGACGCTGTACCGCTTCTAAGAACAGAACAGACTGTGATGATGAAATAACTGCTGTATAATGTAATTTATGAAGCATATTTTGGGTCAAAATGCCAATTTTATTAATGTCCCACACCTGTTATTTCAATCTTGCTGAATTACAAAATTGCATCTTTTCAATTGAAAATACTGTGTAGAAACGTTGAACCAAGACATATTTTAATAAATGCTGTTCCTGATCAGTGATTTCTGTCAATTTTTTTCTATAAATACATCTGTCTCATATATATGTCAATGTAACACTGATGAATTTACCTCCCCTTCTTTCCCCCAAATTCACACAAACCTACTTTTGATGGAAAGAGTAAGCGAATGTTTAAACTGAGTGAATGGAGAAGCTAGTTAGTCATGCTGGTTATTGAGTTCACATGAAAATTGGCTCTTACTCTCATTTCCCAAACTCAAATGAGAAAGCTGTTACCATAGCTGTGGCTGATACTGTTACAAGAAAATCAAGGCTACAAGCAAATAGCTTTGCTAAGTATTGGAGAGTGATAAATACTACACTTGCTAAGTGGCTGAATCAGTATTACTCTGCCAAAGAGACAGTGAGTGACCCATTCAAACTTTCCTTCTCTCAATTTGTATCTATGGTGGCACCATGGTCAAAACTCCAACATATACAATGCATATACTCCAATATATACAAGCTATGAGTTTGCTCAAGAGAACTTTGGAGACTGGAGGTAGTATTCTCAGATATTTACAAATATTTCAAAAACATAAACTGAGTAGCACCCAGTTTAGGCACATCCTCCCCATGTGACTAACAATGCTTTCTAAGGTTTGCCTCTTTGCTTTAAAGACTGTATTTACTGGGAACAGATCTGTCCTTCAAACTGAAGGTTTTTTTTCTATAGTGAAAGGCTTGTTATTTTAAGCTGTTTTGAACCTGACAGGTTTTTAGTCAGGGTTTACTTGGTATAATGCAATGACTTCAGCTAATAATGAGACTAAACTAAAATTCTCTACAAAACACTCGACCAGGATTGGGCACCCCTGCTGTAGAAACATCTGGTCCTGCTTTGACACAGCAATATCTCTAATGTCCCTGCAAAGGCTCTGGCAGCAGTGGTCTCATACAACAGATGTGTGACCATAAAAATGTACTTACACCAGTACTGGACGAACAGCATTGTTCATGTTGCCATAGGCAGCACGACCGAGCAACTCCCGAAAACAGCTTTCAGCTAGAGCTGCAGGGTTCTCCTCTCCTCCAGTCCTGAGAGAGAGAGAGAGAGGAGAGAGAGAGAGGAGAGAGAGAGAGAGAGAGAGAGAGAATTCTGAAGACTAGTAATAAGCAATGAAGTATGAGGAATTTTAATTTAAAGAATAAATGCTGAAAAAGTGAAATGTGTGGAAAAATGATACTTAAGATTTATAGCATGTTCACACTTGGCAGGTATGGTTTAAAATGCATCCCTTCACAAATGCTCTTTAAGTGCGGTTTATTAGATGTGTGGACATGCACAATGGACCAAAAAGGTCCATACAGACCAAACACAGAACAAACTGTTGTCTCCTCTCTGCAGACTAGAGAACTGCACAGGGACGAAATACTACCCCCACTCTGACCATCCTCTCGTATCCCAGTATTACCCAACACCGTATTCACCTCATATCCACATAACGCAACACCGTACCCACACAAAGTTTTGTAAAAGCAGTAAGTCATTAAAGCATAGGTTATTTTATTCATTTTATTATTTTACAGAGGCCTCTGGCTTGAGAAGCTGGTGCAGACCCAGTGGCAGAAATAACTGCCTGCATGTGTTCCTCATAACTCTATCAGCCTCTATCACTTACAGGAATTTAGCTGCTGGTTTTTGTGTTGTGGCCTTCAGGTGTACAGTTTTTGAACAACACCATCAATTTACAAGAAGAAGGAATCTGCACAGCTCAATGAGCTGAATATTCTCTAGGTCAATGACAAGCAGGGGTTTCAAAATAATAATTTAAAAATTCTTCTTAAAAAGGATGTGATATGCATTTTTATATCTGCAAGAATTTATCCTATATTTGAAGAACTGTTTTAGCATCAGGATCAATTGTATCACCCAGAAAACATCAGTTGGTGCAATCCCACAATAATTAAAAAGTATTACAACATAATATTAAAGTAAATTACAACTACTGCAAATGTGTACACGGGTCACTGATATGATATGCATTTTTTGAGTCAATTATTTTCCTAAAAAATAATTTAATAAATACATGACATAACAAATTACCCAACAATACCTCTTTTATGTTAAACAATTTTCAGTGCACCTGTATAAATTTCATTTTAATTACTTTTTGCCTTGAAAATTCTAAAAATGTCAGGTAGTGCAAACATCCAACCATATTTGTTGATTAAGTAAACTATCAAAAAAGGTAATTTAGTTATATAAAATTCTAAATGAAATAGTTTGCAAAATAAGGCAACTTTAAAAGTACTCACTGAAAAACTTTTATCTGCAAGTTCTTACTTCCTCAAATGTCAGGCAGCACAACCAAAAAACAAACTTTTATTTTACCTTCATGGTCAAGTAATGCCCAGGTCTGTAGTCATTTCACAAATTTTGGAAAAAAAATATTTTTGAATCATGGTTAGAATGTGTAATTATTACAATAACATTTATTTATTTGAAAAAAAAACGTAGGCAGAAACTTAACGTAGCCATAAGCTTATGGACAAAGGTTTCTATGAGTGTCTAAGTAGACACTTTAATTGTTTAATTTGAAATTTATCAGAAAAGTCAGGTGGCACAACCAAAAAGCCAAGTGGTGCAACCAGACCAGTACAGTTTTAATAACAGAAACAGTAAACTGAAAGCTTTGATAACACTAACTACATTTAAGATATAACATGCACATAGATACACATGCAAATATAACCCCATTTCCAAAAAAGTTGGGATGCTGTGCAAAATGTAAATAAAAACAAAATGCAATGATGTACAAATCATTTACACCCTGTATTTAATTGAAAATAGTACAAAGACAACATATCAGACATTGAAACTTAGAAATGTTATAGTTTTTTGGAAAAATATATGCCCATTCAGAATCTGATGCCAACAACACGTACCAAAAAAGTTGGGACGGGGCAACAAAAGGCTGGTAATGTTGTGTAATGCTTAAAAAACACCTGGTGGTTGATTAACAACAGGTCAGTAGCCTTATTGGATATAAAAAGATCATCTCAAAGAGGCTGAGTCTTTCAGAAGTAAAGATGAGGAGGGGTTCACCACTCTGCACGATCAAATAGTGCAACAATTCAAGAATAACGTTTCTCAACATAAAATAGCAAAGAACGGTACATAATAACATTAAAAACATTAACATTAAAAGATTCAGAGAATCTGCAGAAACCTCTGTATGCAAGGGACAAAGCCAAAAACAAGTATTTGCTGACCATGATCTTTGGGCCCTCAGGCAGCACTGCATTAAAAAAAAGGCATGATTCTGTAGTGGAAATCACTCAGAAACACTTATGAAAACCATGGTCTGTGAACATAGTTCATCACTACATCCACAAATGCAAGTTAAAACTCTAAAACACAAAAAATAAACCACATATAAACAGGATCCAGAAATGCTGCCATCTTCTTTGGGCCCGAGCTCATTTAAAATGGACTGAGGGAAGTGGAAAAGTGTTCTGTGGCCTGACAAATCAACATTTGAATTTTTTTTTTGGAAATCATGGACACTGTGTCCTCCTGGCTAAAGACCACTCAGCTCGTTATCACTGCACAGTTCACAAGCCAGTATTCATGATGGTATAGGGGTGCATTAGTGCACATTGCATGGGTGACTGGCACATCTGTGAAGGCACCATTAATGCTGAACAATATATACATGTTTTGGCAACATATGCTGCCATCCAGGCAACGTCTTTTTCAGGGAAGGCCTTGCTTATTTCAGCAAGACAATGCCAAATCACATTCTTCATGTATTACAACAGTATGGCTCTGTATTAAACGTTGCTAAACTGGTCTGCCTGCAGTCCAGACCTGTCCTCCACTGATAACATCTGCTGCATTATGAAATGAAAAATACAACAAAGGAGATCCAGAGTGGTTAACATGTCCCCGTCCCAACTTTTTTGGAACTCGCTGTCGGCATCAAATTCAAAATGGGCATATATTTTTCAAAAAATAATAACATTTCTCAGTTTCAACATCTGATATGTTGTCTTTGTAGTATTTTCCTTTAAAAAAATATGGTTTACATGATTTGCGTATCATTGCATTCTATTTTATTTACATTCTGCTCAGCGTCCCAACTTTTTTGGAAATGGGGCTGTATATAAGCAAATGTAAAAAATCCTTTTTCAAAAGATTTTTTAAAAAATGGTCATTTTAGAAAATGTATTTGCCATTGACCTATGAACTAGTCTTTGTCCTTTGTAATTTAGGTTACAAGTATTATTATAAAAACACATTTTCTGGGAACCTGGTGAACAGAACTACCCTAAACACGATTAAAAAAGACAATGACAAAGGTTTATGACCTTGGCACTGCACTGTGAAGGCCACTTGGGGTCTTCTTGGGGTCAAATACCCTGCCCCCACTTTTTCTTAAAAGAATTCCAGAATAAAAGTCCTATGTTGCTGGTTGTGCTGCATGACATTTGAGGAAATCAGAGTTTATGGACAAATGTTTTGCAAAAAGTTATAGTTAATAAAGTTAATTATTATTATTATTATTATTATTATTATTATTGTTGTTGTTATGTTATTATTATTACTACTATTATTGTTGTTGTTATGTTATTATTATTACTACTATTATTATTATTATTATTATTATTATTATTATTATGTTTAAAGACATACAATTAGGTCAAACTACTTTATTTAGAAATTTAGTATATTTAATCTGCATATATGGATGGACAGCTGCACCATCTGACCTTTTTAGAATGTGGTATATATTTAATAGATCATTGAATTGTAAATAATGGATCAAGAAGCATGGCATATCACTGACCCCCCTCGCTTACACACGAGAGTGTGAGAGAGAGAGAGAGAGAGAGAGAGAGAGAGAGAGGGAGGAGCTTAAAAAAAAACACACATCATCACACACACAGATATACATGTCCCACACCCCTCATGGATTGATGAAGGAACATCTGAAGAATAAAACATTCATGAGAGACCAGGCTATATTTAACATGAGGTCAGCTGAAAGAGCTTTAGGTAACATTAAACACACACACACACGCACACACACACACACACACACACACACCAGCCAATGCCACTCAGAATAGAGATAAACAGACACAAAATCTACCATTTATGGCAGTTAAAATGTGCTAGACAAAGGTTACACTGCATTTATGCAGATTTCATATTCATTTATTTCACTCTTTTGTATCCTCTCTTTGTCTCTCTCTCTCTCACACACATTCAGCTCACGTTCAGCCCCTGAAAAGCAATTAACAGGCTCAGATGCCCTTGACCAGTGAAAACGCACAGCTACAGGAGCCAGAACACAATAAAATCACATTCTCAATTTCCTCCACTACACATGAGTGTGTATATGTGTGCATGTTGTATTCCTCTATTTATAAGACAGCTTAGTCAGTGATGAATTATGTATTCAAGGTCAAAGGCTTGCAGTTAATGTCATTTTGAGAACATAATGTGAAATGTGTTAATGTGAGTCCTATTATTTATTTATGTGTAATTATATCAATAACTCAGACACATGCGTACATTGCAGACAGCTACTGAGTTATATCAATAATTCAGACACGTATGTTGCAGACACTTCGCAAATTAATCCAGACGAAATCCAGGTGCATCACTGACACAAATAAGACGTCATTAAATGTAAATGATTAACCAACTATCCGTTAACCAACAAACAATTGTTTGCTCAATGCTATTCGTTACAAAACATCACTTTTAACTTCATTTCATTTACTATAAACAAGAGTTCTTAATTGAATAGGTATGTTTATCATTTAAGTTGAAGAGGAATGCTGAAGGATGTACAAGAGGGAGCAATAGGCTATAGTCTTCCCTAGATAAGTCAACCAATAAAATGAACCACACAGCTAAAAGTAGTGGTGTTCTAAACCAGTTTCTGAGAAAATAAGAGCACAGTTACAACAATGTACCATTTTAAAAGCAAACTTCCACAAGCGCGAAGACAGAAGCTATTCATTCTCGAGAGAAAGCTTCTTTCTTTATTTCAGCAATAATCTCAAAATAAGTGTGAAATGTG